CCCCTCTCCCCAGATGGCAGCCTGTGGCAAGTGCAGTCGGGCTGATGGCCGAGTGCTGTGATGTGCCCAGTGTGGGCACTCCGGGTACTCCAAGCCAGGACTGGTTTGCAAGCGGGGCACCCCTGAGAACTGTCTGTCCGGGGTGGGGGTCGGGACCCTTTAAGCGCAGCCCTCGACTAACCTGAGACAGCATCTCCACGCTCTAAGTCCTCCTCTGATGCCCTGCCGGCACTGTTTCCGGCCATCCTTAAGCCCGGTTCTGGGTCCACTTAATGTGGACGCGCTAGTTAGCAAAACGCTAATTCGAACTAGTTTTTAGTTCTAGACGCGTTAGTTCGAATTAGCTTAGTTCGAATTAACTAATTCGAACTAAGTTAGTTCGAATTAGCGCTGTAGTGTAGACATACCCAAGGGATGTTACAAGAATATCTGGATTCTGCTATATATATTCTGGTTCACCAAATAATGTCATGTGAGGTTTTAAATGAAAGCCAGGGTCATACTGATTGGTAATATACTGTGAATGTACATACAGCTACTAGATAAAGAATTATATATGTACGTTGAAAATATGTTCTTAGATTCTGTATCACAGCAAAGATTGAGAAACAGGGTTCTGTCAGACAAAAGATGTTTATTTTCTTGTCTCTCGGTCAAGATGTTAAGTAAACCAACAGAATGGTGGGACATTATATACAAAGTCAATAGAGAGTTATGAAGACAACACAGGGGGCATATCTTGACAAAGGCTTGCTGTATTATATTAAGGGAACAGAGAAGGCAGTCTGTCATTGTGTACCTAGGAAGTAAATGAGCACTAAGTTTACCTTCATGAAAATGGGATTTCAACACACTTTGGTTGAAACGCTTCAACATTTGGGATGAAATAAACTTCATTAGGCAGGAGATTTGCCTGCCAAGGCAAGTTTAATCTCTAGAAAGTTGATTATAATTTTGATTTGTATGTAACCTTTTGCTTACCTTATTCTTATTCATTCTTTCGAGTCTTTGATAATAAATGTATAATTTTCTCTATAAAAATATCTCAGTTCTTGTATTATTAAACAAACTTCTGATCCTGAGTTGAATTATACAAACTGCAAGTGTTCAATGAATAAAGGACGGGATTACAGGATTATGCGTCAAAAGATCTTGGGGACTGGGGCATACCTATTGTCAATATACAATACAAAGTAAGGGCTGGTATTGTCCAGAGGAGATTGCTTGGCTGGCAAAAGGGCTGATGGTATCAGGGACCTTATACTCAGTTAACAACAAGCAAGTCTCCCTCTTGCTGGAGGCAAGGGGTAACAAGGTGGCTCACAGTCCCGGGTACCTAAAGAATAAACACAGCATCTTTGGCAGATGCTTGCCTAATTTCTTCCTTTTCTCTTTTTCCTAGTGTCATCATCTGGCATCAGGATGTTTTGCAAGCATCCACCATGTTCACCTGTCTGAGCCTGTACTAGGGTCCATTTTCTTTGATGAATAATACATTCATTGCTTCCTCAGCTTTCCTTGTGCTCTGTAAGTGGTCTCGCTTAATCCTGGGCCCCCTGACTTATGCTCAGGTCCTTGAGTAATGGTCCAGAGGCCCCTTTCAGGCTGTGGGGTGGGTCATAATGTCTGTGCCAGTCCAATGTCAATACAGCCCGGCCCTGGTTCAGGGCGTGGCAGGCAAACAAACAGTTACTGAAGTCAGTTTGGTCCAGGCCCTGGTTCAAGGTGGGGCAGGCAAATAAACAGTCTCTTGGCACAAGTGGGGAGGGGGAGACTGCCACCCAGTTTGTGGGGTAGCAGGGGGGATGTGGGCCCTCCCTACTCCACTGCATCCTGGCCCAGGGCCCTAGCAGTGGCAGTCTTGGTGGCCACTGGGGTCAGCGGGGAATCCAATCTATAACATACCGACACACGTCAAAGGGCAATTAGGTTAGCCTGACCACCATCTGTTTCCCCTGGGCCACTTCTGAACTCCCCCTTGGTGTGTACCTGGCTCCCCGTCAGTGGAGGGTTTTCAGGGTCTGGGTAGTCTGTGTTTGGAGACAGGGTAAAGAAAGTCTCCTCTTCCGTGCCTATGGCATGTGCTTGTCATACACAAAACCTGACGTGTTCCTCTCTCGTCCAACATTCTCTAGTCTGAACTGTATCTCATATATTATGTCGCTGTCTTCCTTAACCCAGCCAGTAAGGTTCTTACACTGGTCAGTCTGGTGTAGCTATAGTCCAGTAATCTCTATATCCAGTGTTGAGAGAAACTTCTGTTCACCCACACAACTGTAGTCTTAATCATGTTCGTTTTCATTCCATTCCAGTTAGCTGGTCATGCTAACGTCTTCTTTTGAGAACCCCTGCATTGCTACTTTAACTTCATATAACAGCTTGTGAACTTTTCTCATCTGATCTATCGCAGGAAACTTAGGGTCACTCTTCAGATTTCAGCCTTCTCTTCTGGAGACTAAATATGTCCAATTCTTTTAACTTTTCCTCACTGTTAGCTTTTCTTAACCCATCATTATTTTTGTTGTTCTCTTCCAGACTCTCTCTAATTTGTCTACATCCTTCTACGAGTATGGCACTCCAAACTGGACACTACTCCACTGAGCAGTAATCAGTGGAGTGAAACAATTACCTTCCCCATCTTACGAATGACACAATTGTAAATATATCCCAGAATGATATTTGCTTTTTTGACAATACCATGACATTGTTGGCTCATATTCAGTTTGTGATCCTCTACAGCCCATAGAACCTGTTCTGCAGTAGAGCTGCCTACCCGGTTATTTTGTATTTGCACATTTGAATTTTCTTTCCTAAGTGCAGAAGTTTGCACTTGTTTTTATTGATTTTCATCTTATTGATTTCAGACTCTCTTTAATTTATCTAGATCTTTTGAATTGTGAGCCTGTCCTCTAAAGAGCTTTGAAAGCGCCCTTCCCCCCAGTTGCCCTCAATTAGAAATCCAACAATAGAAAATGTGTGCAACTAGAAATCCAAAAATAGAAAATGTGTGTCCAATGTCTGATTTAATATTATTGGAACTTTGTAGTGCCAGACTCTGGGATTAGAAAAGGAAGCTTTTCACATTTAATTTTGTCTTAAGTGACTGGGAGGAACAAGGTATGTTCCTAACTTAATCGCTGCTTTTGTTTTGTTAGAGGCAGTTTTCAATTAATCTACTTTATGAAGACTCTAAAGCTTCATGGGAATAAAATGACAAATATTTTTTTTCTTTTTGAAAAATCAGTTACAGTTCAGAATTTGCAGAATACTATGGAACACAGCAAATATTGCAGAAAGATTCTAATGTGGTAGCGTTAAGCATGGAAAACTTCAGGCTAATGGTGAAAATTTCAAAAGGATATACACACACAGAACAAAAAGAAGATTATAAATGGACGTTGCTTTGTAACTATAGGCCTAGTTTAAACCTACTGTAACTCCATTGAACTGAGCTGAATTACACAAGAGATGAATTTTGCCTTCCAACTAGACTGGGAACTACTGAGTGCTGGACATATGTACAATATTGTTAAAAAAAACCTTAATGCAAAGTAAGTAAAAGGCTGCAGTATATTTTTGATTGTAAGAAATAGCAAACAAATACAACCACTGCTTTAACATGAGAGATATATACAAGGATGGCACTTGTTGGTAAAAACACCATATTAAAATTATATTATTTGTTTTAGTGAGTCAGAGAAATCTTCTAGAAAAAGGTACCTTTATAGACTGTGTTAAACTGCACTGAACCTGGTGTTATTTATTCATAAAAAAAATGTAAAATTGAGCTTTGTTATACAACATTGAAACAATATGGGCTTCCACTTAAAACAAAGCCATGTTCCAGGCTGGAGTAGAGTTAGACATGTGGTCTAAGAAGGTTTCCATTGTGCTCTGATAAACTCAGGAGTGGAACTGATTGGACTGAAAACATATATGTCTGTGTGTAATAGAGAAAAGCAACAAGAAACATTAAAATCAGCATGAAAAAAGAAGCGTAAAACTAAGGAGACAGGACAGATGGCTGAAAGAGACTGTGTACATCTTCATACAAAAATGGGATTGCATTATAGAAATACTTGGTTGCAGCATCAATTTATCCTTTTAACAGGAAAAACCTTGTAAGACTCCAAATTTTGGCTAACTTCTTGGGTCAAAAATAGGTAGCCATATTGTCTATTCAATTCCTGTTTATACCAAACAGCCCTTTGACTCCCTAGGTAATCATGCTCTGTTTCTGGCATTTCACGGAAACCATAGGTAAGGAAAGGAACTAGAGAATTCTTTGTAGTCCTTCACCAGAACTGAAATATTGTATAATAATCAATACCTTTTCACCTTTTGCCCCAACTGGACCGGGATGTCCGGGTCTTCCTATTGCTCCCTAAAACACACAGGATTGTTTCACATTAGTGATAAAACAATAAAATAAAGTGTACTGCATTGCAATTATGTTATTAAAACTCATAGATTTTGAAGGTCATTTTAACTTAATTATGTCTCTCCCGCAAGGCTTATATTTTTTCTGACTGAACAACAGCTGCATACTACCGATAAGCCTATGAAGGATAAAATTTGTGTTTGTGTTTGCATTTTAACCTTGACAGACTAAATGTAGTGACCTTAATTTTTGCTAAAGATGTAGCCATGCTATTTAAATGTCAATTTTCATATTGCCCATTAAGCTTTGCTAAATGTGTTATAATTTTTGAAAGAAAGCTTAACTTGTATATATGTGGCAACACCATCACAGGACCTAACCAGATCAGCCATATTGTCACTGGTTCATTCTCCTGCACATCTACTAACGTAATATATGCCATCATGTGCCAACAATGCCCCACTGCTATATACATCGGCCAAACTGGACAGTCCCTACGTAAAAGAATCAATGGACACAAATCAGATATTAGCAATGGCAACATACAAAAACCTGTACGGGAACACTTCAATCTTCCTGGACATACAATTGCAGATCTAAAGGTAGCCATCCTGCAGCAAAAAAACTTCAGGACCAGACTTCAAAGAGAAACTGCTGAGCTACAGTTCATCTTCAAGTTTGACACAATCAACTCTGGATTGATTGGTGCCCAGGGGGTAGGAATGGTGTCCCTGGCCTCTGTTTGTGGAAGGCTGGAGATGGATGGCACGAGACAAATGGCTTGGTCCATCCCTTCCGGGGTAGCTGGTGTTGGCCACTGTCGGCAGACAGGCTACTGGGCTAGATGGACCTTTGGTCTGACCCAGTACGGCTGTTCTTATGTTCTTATGTTCTAAGCTCAGGGCTCAGGTTCGGGGGTCTCACTGGACCAACTTGATTTTCATGCAAACCTGCTCCTGGGTTCACACGTGGCCTTTGGTGGCCAGGCTGGCAGCTATCGTGTCCGTGGAGGTCATGGATGAGGTCCACGATGTCCGCACTAGACCAGGCAGGCGCCCGCCTCTTGCGGCCCCGGGAAGGCTCCTGGGAGCCGTTAGCCTGGTCCTGGGTAGAGGCAGAGGGCTGGGTGGCAGCGGGCAGCTGGCTCATGCCGTGCCAGGTGCAGGGTCTGCTTGCTGGGTGCTGGCAGGCTTGCAACTGGCATGGGCACTGTAGCCAGACCGTGGCCCTTTAAGGGCTCCGGGGCCGGGAGGGGGGCAGAAGAGTTTCCCTGACTTGGCCCAGAGTGGCCACCAGGGCAACCTGGGAAGGGCTAACCTCCAACTAGTTCGAATTAAGTGGCTACACAGCCCTTAATTCGAACTACTTAATTCGAACTAGGCATTACTCTTCGTAGAATGAGGTTTACCTAGTTCGAATTAAGCGCTCTGCTAGTTCGAATTAAGTTCGAACTAGCGGTTTGCATGTGTAGCGCCTATGAAAGTTAATTCGAAGTAATGGCTGTTAGTTCGAATTAACTTTGTAGTGTAGACATACCCTTTTTTATTAATCTTGATATTGAGTGCTCCAGGTTTACTAGATAGTTATTGAAATCTCAAAAAAAAAAAAAAAAACAGATTATATCAAACACTTACAGAAGGCCCACTAGGCCCAGTTAGACCAGGGAGTCCTGGAATACCTTGAAGACCCTGAGAAGTAAAAACAATTTATAAATATTTTTCCAAAACACAGGTATATATTTTGAAATCCATTATATTTATCATGTTCATCACTGTTACGGTTCATATACAAATGATTTTAGACAACAACAATATACTGTTCTGAAACAACATACAAAAGATAGCTTTTTGTTTGAGTGATAAATTATACTCTTCTCCATCATTACTACTGGTAACTTCTGTGCTTTATATTTTTTACACTTTAGCTCTGTAGACAAGAGAATGGTATCTGTGATTTGCTCAGAAACATTTTTGTCATTTCCTATCCCTATGAGCTTTCTACCCATTCTGAAAGGTATATGTTAATTCCTCTCTGTTAGCTGATGTTATCTAAGCAAAAGATTACTTTGTGCCTAATTTCTCAATTATTTTTGGTATTATATATATAAAAAGTATGGATTTCTGTTATAGCACTTAATGAACTACTGCACACTTTACTTCCAGCTACTGCTCATAATTCTATTTTATGGATAAAAATTCACTCTGATGGATTCTGATATCTATCCTCTAGCATTATATGTTCATGTTTAAATATATTTAATAGTTTTAATAAGATTTCATCTCAAAGGTGAATAGCTAAATCTTTATAAATGTTTGAATTCATAAAACATGCCTCATATCAATAGTAAAAAGTCATTGAATGATATTATCAGTTTAATATTCTGAATTCCAGTGTAATCTCTGGTGATGAGCATGGGATAGAAAGGAAAAACATTTAGCCACTATGCAGATTTAGTATTTCCGAACAAAGAAAGTTAGTTCACTATCCTTATCTTTCCTGAATGATCTCAATATATGATGGGAGGTCTCAGGCTCCAAAAGATCAACTAAAAAGATTCTCTGTAACTTCCCAAAGTTGTTTTTCTTTTATAACAATGTACCTGAAGGGAGGGAAAATTATATTTTTTGCATTTGCTGTCATCAGTTGTGCTGCTGCTTTTTGTAGTAGATTCCAGAACTGATTGTGGCTTTCAGTTACCAAAAGATGCTTTCTTTCAGTGTGCTCAAAAATTTCCCTAGTCTCACTTGATAGTTTAGTCCTGACATCCAAACTAGTTAGCTTGTAAAACTGAGGTTTATTAAACTCTGAGTACCGTATTAAATACTTAAAAGTAAAAAAAATACTATCAAATACATTACAAATTCTAGAAATTAGCATCTGAACATGTTATGTTGATGTCAGTATAGAATCATAAAGGACAATGGAATAATTTCAGAAAGCTTCATCTGTTTTTAATTTGAGGCTATAAAATCAGATCAGGCACCTTACATAAAATAATGGCTGCACATGGATATAATCTGAACTATAACTAAATTGTGTTATTCTTTTGAATAATTTTATGACCAAAACACAGGACCCGAGTCAGACAATCTGTGTTGTGTATTGATAAGTACTTTCTAGGTAACCAAAGGCAAATTGTTTAGCAAGTTGGTAGTTCTGTTTCCATATCTATAATATGAGAATAATGTTACCTAGCTTGGGGATGTTGTGTCTAACACTGAATATTTTACCAATTATATTATAAAAGTGTACTAAACAAAAAATCAGAGCAAGTCTCATTCGCTGTTTTTGATAGTTCAGCTTGTGAACATTATCCCAATACAGTGGAGAAATCTAATGTTCTGCCTTCTCGCTGTTAACTTTTTAAATACCTGGTTCCCATGTAACATAGTGTCTAATAATCTGGTGTTTAAGGCAGACATTGCGAGCCCTATGTCTTCATTCCATTGCTGACTCACTGCTCTCCATTAGCCTCTTGTGCCATCCTATAGACTGGTCTCTTCAGATTATCAATAAAATTTGTATAAATCTACCCATCTCTTCAAGCATCTGCCCTCTCATCTGCCCTCACACATGCAGTAGCCCTGGTATGCCACAAATAATGGGAATGTATTTAAAATATGAAAATATTAAGAAAACCATGACTCTCATGATAATCCTGATAAATCTACAAAATGGCACCTTAAAAGGACCTATAAGCACCACAATCAACATCTGATATGCCTTTATTGCACATTAAGTTCTGGATATATTAAACTTGATATCAAATCCCAACATCACAGGGAACAGGAGTATATATGTGTATGGAAAGTACAAAGGTGAGTCCCTATACAGTCTTCTCCTGGATTTGGCACTTCTGCCACAAGGACAGCAATTTCCGTCCTACTTGGATAAGGGTGTGCTATATACAGAGCATCTTTTTTTCATATTCTAGTGCGATCTACTAAAAAAGAGGCAGATAGTACTAGTGAAAGGCATGTGATTTCTATGGCCACCAGTTGGTTGAAGAAGGGAAAGCAATGGGCCCTACAGAAGGCAGAAGAGCTGGTCTGAGACACAGACTTCATGTTGAAGGAAGGGGAGTAAAAGAAAGAGTTGCTGAGGGGGTAGGAAAGAAAATCTGCAATCAAAGGAGCCCAGAATAGGGAAAACTGACAGGGAAGTGGGAGAGTTAAAGAAGAAAAGGGAAAAATCATGAAATGATGGAGAGGTGGGGACTAGAGTGAGCTTTACAAACTGTGCACAGGGGGACAAGGCCGTATTGACTCAAGCCCCGGGGAAAGGGGCCACCCAATATTTTGTGGGACTTGTGCCCCTTTCTGAATTAGTTGACCCCAGCTATAGAGCCTCATTAATAATACTTAGACACCTAGAATAGATTTAAGAATTAAGTTTGTTATAATTCTTACACTTTAGTTCATATTGTAATAGGAAAGTGCAATCTGAAAAGCACCTGATAAAATTCATATCATAGACCCTTGCAAAACCTAAATTGCCTTAACAGTGAAATTCTCAAACCATATTGAAACTTGGAGACCAGATACTCCT